CGGTGCATTTCTTGAGGACCATGCCCGGTTCATGTTACTTGCTCCAGTGTTTTATACTGCATGTTCATCTCCTGTGGCTGATAATACAATGTGCGTCTCACCTGACATGCAACCATCACAGCAGTCCTGTTCTTTGCTCCCCTGGCATCTACGTCAGCTCCAAGCTCCACGAGCAATCTGGCAACATCATGACGAGCATTTCGAATAGCAGTCTGCAAAGCTGTCAGACCCTCAGGGCCCAGCTTGTTCAAGCAATCTTTATTGGCTTCAACAGCTGCCCGCACATCTTCAAGGGTTCCAGATATTGCTGTTCCCACCAAACCTGAATTTGGTGGAACAGGTATTGCAACGCCCTCTTGACGTGGATAGGGACTGGATTTGGATGCTACGAACGGCTTGGGCTGCTCGCAGGAGATAGCATCTTCTATTCCAACAGCACGAGACATAGCTCAACCCAGCCTCAGTGAACGAACCAAAGACACTTTACACCTAACTTTACGGTGTTTTCAGACCTTTGAATCGAAGTGATTCATTACCCTTAATTTGAATATTGAGGACTCGATCGTACAAGACTTTGACCTTTTTTCATGGGGTGAAAAAAAGGAAAGAAAAATGATTGATAGAAGATGCATGCTCCGCGCATGCTGCGCTGTCATGGCAAGTGTGATGTAAGATCTTCTTGCAAAGGTTGTTTTGATCTTCTTGCTGACTCAAGACTAGTCAGACCACTGCAGACTGTATCATGCCGGTGTGCCCAGCTGTACTGCAAGTGTTGGACAGGAGTCAAATCGAAGTGTGCTTGATAGCGGACATTTTATTTTCAAATTCAAGACTCTCAGCTGAGGATGTTGTCGAGTGAGTGGAAGTTAGTTATAGTACATATAGTAGTAGTGTAACTGTTGCTTGAATAGTATCTACATGTACATAATTGTACAGGACAGTCTAGATGTACACAAGTCACTAGGCCAAAGTGCACTGGCTACTACTATAAATTATACTGGCAGTACTGTCATGTTTGTGCTTGCAAGTTGATCATGAAAGAAAGTTGAAGGACAGTCAGAAAGATGAAAAAAGCTATAGTCTATCAAAAATACTTCGCTACGGCAAGGAAACCATAAATTTATTTATAATATTGACTTCCGTCACTCTCTCAACAATGCTCCTTGTTGAGATTGTGATGTGAGTCAAGCCCACTGATAATCATTATCTACAGTCAACTTCGCTAATAACGACTGCAGATATGACGACAATTCACGAATAACGACAGAATTTGCATGCCCAGAGCAAAGTCCCATCCCACTGTATGACTTCGGGTATAACGACACTTCGCGAATAAGGACACCTTTTTGATGCCCCGCCGAGTGTCGTTATAAGCGAAGTAACATAGTTGACTGTACATGCAGGCGCGTGCCCCGTATGGGTTCCTGGGTGCCCGGAACCCCCCCCCTGGGCCCCCCCCCCCTTTTTCGCTCAAAATGCAGGATTTTGCTTCATTTTTTGAAATTTTTGCCGGGGGCATCCCCCCCCCCCTTGAAGGGCACCGGCGCACGCGCCTGACATGTAATACTACACTGTATTATCCACAGTCGAACATTGTGCACTCGCAGTCTTCTTAGAGCACACTATCACTCCATAGTAACAGGTCCTAACAGTACAGACAAAGAAACATTGCATATCACCAGTGGCTGCATGATGCCATTCGGAAAGGCCCGCTCAATGTGCAGTATGATAACAAACTGGTAAAGCAGTGTGCACATCGTTCATAGAACTCTCCTCAGCTCTGAAAAGAATAAACCTTTGACTAGGGAAAATAAACTATACAGGGATGTTTGAAGCAGTTGTGCAGCTGCTACCTCCGGCGCTGGGTGAAATCATGACTCTGAGTCATGAGGATATAATATATCAGCAGAAAGACTGTAAATTGTAGAAGCACCTCGGCAGTTTTCAATTTACTAATACCGGGCTGGCTGCATCGCCATGGTAGCTGCATTGCCTTCTTTTTTCTTCTTTGCGAGTTAAGATGCGTACAAATGAAAAAGATCAAGCCCAGAAATGCAGTATTGCAGGCTGGTCAGTTCAAGCCTGGGGGGGGGGGGGGGGGGGGGTGACAACGTGGACATGCGGACAAATGTGTGCGTCAACAACGGGCTGGCTGGGAAAAGCGGGCAAGGCCGGGCACAAGTCACCATTCACCCTGTGAGCTATGGGATTACATGACATGTGGTCTCAAGTACCAGACAGAATGTGCTGCAATATCACCATGGCGTGTTGTAGTTCAGCAATAGCAAGTCAAGGTCTACCAGTACTGCAAGTACCTGCTTGACACCATCAGCAGTGAGAGATGTAGGAATTACGCTCGTCCAGGGATGAGCTAGCAGGCAGTGCCCCAAAGCGTGCGAGATGTGCCGCTTGCCACTGCGCACTGCTGGCTGACTGTGTAGAGGCTGCTGTGGCATGGCGTGCTGCTGAGGCAGCGGACACCAGCGACGATGACATGACACCGCTGACGCCAGAACTCTGTGTGATCGGCGCAGACACCTCGCCGGCCGACAAGCTTAGCTTGACGCTGTTGGAAGGCTGCGATGGCGGCGAGCGCTTGCTTCCCGACGCACCGCTGCTGCTACTGGTACCGGCTGTGGCAGACATACTCATACTGCGCCGGTGATGGTAGCTAGTTGACACCGCCGCCGCCGCTTGATTACTAGTGTGAGCAGCAGCGCTTAAGGGCACCACAGTGTGTGATGTGGGAGAGTGGTCCTGCACTGCGCTGGACTGGGGGCTGAGCGACAAGGGCATGCTAATATTGGATACAGCATGAGTACTACCGTGAGCTGCTGCACTGCTGCCAGCATGCTTGGTGAACGGGCCTTCTTGCATGATAGCAGCCCTAGAGTCTACGCTACTACCAGATGATGATGGAAGGCAACTGATTGTTGCCGATCGTCCCCGCTGTATTGTTGGTGATTGCTGTCCACACTCGGAGAGAAGAGATGAGCGTGATGCTCTGGACGAGCTCAAAGGAGGAGAACCGCTGTACATGTAAGTGGCAACATCATCTTTCTCTGTTTTCTGAGGAGGGTTCTGTTCTGCCTCTGCCTCTGGTACTGGTGATACGTTCACTACTGCTAAGTCTCCTCCTGAGTCTGCCCCTCCTTGCTCAGACACAGTGGCTTCTGCAGTCGGAGGGGGAGCTTGAGCCTCCTGTCGCGGCTGCTGACTAAGATGCTGCTGTGACTGCCGCTGCGGCTGCTGTTGCTGCTGCTGACTGGCCGAAGCCTGAGCAGCGACAGCGGCAGAAGTGGCAGCAGCAGCGGCCAAGTTGCCACCCCGACCAGAACCTCGCAGGCTAGAGTAGCCCCCTCCGTTCCCTGCCATGCCATGGTGTACACACTGAGGGCTGGGTGAGGCTGCCGAGTGGTAGAAACGAAGACTGCCCGCTAGTGACCTCTCCGATGCCGTGCGCAATGAGGACTCCAGAGATGAGGCTGTGCGTAGCTCCAGCTGTTCAAGTGCACCCAAGAACTCCATCTGATTCGGTCCGCTTGACACATCAAAGGGAACCATGTCTGAAAACGCCAACACAAAAACAGAGGCAGTAAGAGCAAAGTGCAGGCACATGTCCCTCCTGAATGCCGAACGCTCACTATCAATATGATTACTCAGTACTATATTATACAGCACAGGTTTGCAACCGTCATACAGACTCAATTGCCGTGCACAAAGACGACCATAACTTACCGCTGCCCATCACATTTGTTCGCCCATGTTCAACTGCAGTCGTCAAGTCGAACATCTACAGAAGACAAAGGGCAATCGAAAAAGAAGTGTCACCTCTTGTTCTCTTCTCTGACTCACTAACTGCTTCCTCCTCTTCCTCTTCCTCTTCCTCTCTCTCTCTCTCTCTCTCTCTCTCTCTCTCTCTCTCTCTCTCTCTCTCTCTCTCTCTCTCTCTCTCTCTCTCTCTCTCTCTCTCTCTCTCTCTCTCTCCCTCCCTCCCTCTCACACTCACTCACTCTCTCACCTGAATTGAGCCATTCGACTGTCCCGTGACAACGTATCTGCGGGACCTGGAGCCAATGCGGCTACCACCATCAAACTCGTGCACACAGTGTGCGGTGATGTTGGAGCTGTCAACTGGCCTCAAGACACACAGCCTGCAAGCAAGACCAACCATAGATATATGCCAATGTTCAACACACGAGGGTATGTGTACAGTGAGCAGTATAGAGTGGCTGCACAACATGACACCCGGAGAGCTGTGACATTGCAGGGCTGGTGGCATAGCAAACATGAAAATTCTACTTGTAGCAGAAGTCAACCACTTTTCCTGTTCAAGTCTGAGGAAATTGGGACAATAGCCGACTCATTACGGTGATCTTGTGACTGTTACATCAAGTAGGGAAAGGGAAACTGACCTCTTGCCGGTTGAGGAGAGGCGAACATACAGTTCATTGGACTCAGGCACTACACTCTGAAGGAACACTTGCTGGTCATCGTGATCTCCGAATGGCCCTGTCAACAACATGGAACAGGGGAGATAGGACTAGCCGCTCGGCACTACTATTCTTACGATACTACAGAGGACATGCAATACACGTCACATACTGTAGTACGAGTTTGCCACTCAAAGTCGCTGCGCACAAAGCATCCATTGAAGTAACCTCGGGCTAGTTGTACTATGTGCAAAAGTTGTTTAATGAGTAATACATATGCTGTACCTTGGCACTGCAGTGACAGGGAAAGGAAATGCAACGCCCAGCGGAACTGTTCTAGAGGACTAGCCCCTGACAAGATTAACGCTTAGGAAGTACTTTCGTACCACCATGTTATATAGTACGTGAATGTTTAGGCTACGGCCGGACCACTCCAAAACTGCTTTCGCCTGCCCACAACCACTACAAGAAGATACAAGTAGCTGAGTTGTTTTAGAGGCGTTCTTGATGGCTGATGCTGGGTATGATGGAGTGTGACCACTGAGAACCAGAGAGCCGCGTTTACCGTTGACCAATATATACAGTCCTATACGTATGGTCAAACCCATTGACACTGATGAAAGTACACAACAACCCTGGTGTGCACACATACCGATATCTCTAGCAGATGGAGAAGGTGATACACCATCAGAACCAATGCCACCCTCCAGAGACATGACATTGAATGAAGCGAGCGGCTGCGAGCCTGGCTGCGTGGACAGGCAACCGCGGAAACGAGTCACTGTCCACGTGCGCACGTGATTGCAATCGGAGCAGACTGCAGCATGAGAAGAAACACAGCGCCGAGCTCAGACAGATGGAGGATACCAACATCAGAAATGACTACTTCACACAATATATGTAAAACGCATTTCTCTCCAAGAAAGCATGATTGTGCAGGGACGGAAAACAACCAGGTGAGGAGAACAAGGAACCTCAAGTGCTCATTACAGTATAATGGTGAAATTTCCAACACTGCTAGTCTTCGCTTTCAACAGTCTCATAAGAGGTACCATGTAGCCTAATAGCAAGGTGTAAGCAATTGCACACCATAACATCAGCTGAGCGGGTGTCACTAACCAGAGATCAGGTGCTTCTCTCCTAGCATGACCCGTACCACAGGCGACCGATGCACGGTGAAGGTGTGCAGCAGCTGAAATCCCTGTCCGAGTGTCTCCGGGTGCTCAACAATGACACGCACCGTTCCACTGGCCGTGCCGTACGCTATCTCCAACCAGTGACCAATAGTGCCTGTAACGTTAGTAGGAGAAAGAGATACAGCATGACCTGTGTTAGAGGACCACCTGTGACTTCAGAACGCTTATCTCAGGTACCAAGCTACTTCAAGTATGTTTCTGAAAGTGCATGTTGCATGGCCTGCAGAATGCAACCTTCCGATTGGCACAACTAAACTTTATTCGTAGCTTTGAGGGAAACTAAACTTTAGCATAAACACATTTTTTGCTAAAATCGCTAATTCCACTGTACGTTGATACACCTGTGATGACCTGTGTTGAAAGACCACCTGCTTATAAAGACCAGCCTTGCATGCACCATAGGCAGTTAGTGAATGCAGCTTTACTCTATAACACTGTCCTGGTGTAGAACATTACCAAGCTCACAGACCTGAAAGAATAGTTGAGGTTCTGCACTTCATCTGTATACAAACTACAAAGTCATTATAACACGTTTTAGTCTATGATACTACAGGAACATACACATCTTAGGAGTGAAATAGACACTCAATGCCGTTACAGCTTCCTTAGCAGGGTCTTGGTAGAGCTGGGTAACAAGAAGATCGTTGTCCTTCATGCGCACTGGAAACTTCTCCATGTCTACATAGCATCAACACACATGCAAGTGCACGTACGCACACACACGCGTGCACACAGACACACACACATGCACACACAGAATAGGCCACAGTAGTCAAGATGTGGTCCTTACTCACACACACAGTTACACAGCCACAATCCTGAGCTTCACTGGTCAACGATGACTACCTCTGCAGGCATCGGTGAACCATGATTTATCCATGATATTCATGCACGCACTGCTGCTGATTGCAGTGTTCAAACAGACCACATCCTAGCATACGCAAACATACTCGTGATTGCTCCCCATGCTGCACCAACATGATGACATTCGTCACCAGTAGCAGAGCCTACACTTGTAATGCTCCCCTGTACGCTATCCATATCGAAGTAGAGTGTGGCTTACCAATGTAGTAGATCTTGCCATTGGCACAGCCCAAGAGTAGGGATGAGCCGGCCGTGTCGTGACTGGTGATGGGTGTCACATGCTGCACTTTCCACTGGCGCGTCATTGGATTCCACACGGCCACTTTCCCAGTACTGCTCAGGGCTACTAGCTGCGGGCCGATGAAGATCAGCGAGTCGACGGTACTAGCAAAGTCGTGCTTAGCTGAACACAAAGCAGACACGCACCAAAGTAGGGTATACTATCAAACTCCAGAGTATCAATACACAGTGCTGTGTTTCTATTTCAAGCAGGGTGTACCAGTGCAAGCCCTCCTGGCTTCTCAGTTTGACGAAGCCACTCCAAGCAAGTACCGGCAATACGTTAGGTCTAGTTTGACGTATGATAATGGGCACGTCGCCAAATGTGGATTTCATGAGTAATGCATGTGAGTACGCTGGGACCAGTGAATCAGTGATGCACACAGAGAAGACCATGCCCAGGTGGCTGTGTGGGGTGTTCGCGGTACAAATTACGTCATTGCGCAATGGGCGTATTGATAGCATGGAATAACCTCCACAGTCAGCCGGACTGACTTACTGATCTCTGTTGAAGCTGCATCGGGTGCAGTCACATCCCATACACAGATGTTTCCTCCTAAATTGATTGTAGCCATGAGAGGAATATGAACACACAGGTACAGTACAGTGATTAAATACAATGAGCAACACGATCAAAGCCCCTTCATAACCATTCCGGCCCAAGAGTAGGGAATAGCATGTGGGTGGGTGCTACTTTGATGTAAGTCACACACGTGTGCGCCAATACCAAGCGCTTGAGAAAAGAGAGAGACAGACAGACAGACAGGTCATTGTAGTACATGGTGTGGAACACATACCCGATGCTACTGCCAGCAGCTGCTTGATCTGGTTGCCTGTTGTGACTTTAGAATTGAATGCAATCTGCTGTGGTCTCTGGATGACAGGACTAATGAACACCAGTTCCCAGCCGAACGACTCTTTCCGTCTGAAATGCATAGAAAAAAGATAGGGTTAGTAATGGTGGCAGCCACTCAACATGGTTGTGTTTCCCATGCACGCACAAACACACGTGCACGTGCACAAACACACTACCACCACCATCGCCACCACCACCGCCATCGCCACCATCATCACCACCATCACCACCGCCATCATCACCACCACCATCACCACCACCACCAACAACATGGTGAATGACTATGATACAGTGTGTTTTCCAAGAAAGAGTCTGCAGTGTTCAGTAGATTGGCCGATTAGGTAGAAGCCAGCTGACCTGTAACAGCACACGTGTTGTGTATAGGTAGCAGCCAGCCAGTTCTGATGACCTACAATACGAAACACCGGGTCACTGTCCACACCTGCAATGACACAGATCAGAACAAACTACATGTAGTACAAGTATCACAATGGACAAGGAGTGTGGAGTGGCGAGAACTTGGATGCCCGGCGACGGAGTTAGGTCTAGACGTTCATGCCATGCTTGTCCTTTATTGTGGTGACAGGAAGCCACCACCACACCACTTGAGCTCCACATGAACGCCGCAAACTGGGTGAATTGACAGTAGATGAGTTGAATGAGTCCGATGCTAATGAAATCAGAGCAGGAGTCTGAGTTCCGAGATGAGATCAAAGCCATCAAGAAGGGACAGCCTGTGAGTTCCCAGAGCAAGATTGCAGTACGCCATCCACAGTTAGATGACAGTGGTTTGCCGCACGCAAGGAGACGCCTTCAGTATGCAGACTTCTTGCCCCCTGACACGGTGTCACCAATCATCCTTCCCAGGACGCATCCAACGACTAAGCGTGTGATCAAACGGATTCATAGCAACGGTCATCACGCACTCGGGACCAATCAAGTTCTGAACGAGTTGGTAAAGCGGTTCTGGGTCGTCGGTGCCCGTGAAGCAGTCAAAGAAGGGAACGTCAACGTCCCAAATGCCAACGCCGAAAGGCAAAGCCTGCAAAGCAGCTCATGACGCCACTGCCAACATTCCGGATTGAACCCGGCACCCGTGCATTCGAAAGGGTTGGTATCGACTTTGCAGGATCGATGTACACGAAGCAGGGATGCTGAGTGCAGGCAAAGAGATGGCTGTGCATCTTCACCTGTCTTGCCACACGAGCTATCCACATCGAAGAAGCGTAATTATATACAGTGGTCCCTCTATAATCCGGCACCATTTGTGCCACGGAAATCTGCTGGATTAGGGAGGGTGCTGGATTAACAAATCTTATCTACTATTGTGATGTGCATGAAGAGGACATTTTGGCTACTGAAAATTGTGCTGGTTTATCGAGGGTGCTGGTTTATAAAGTGCTGGATTAGAGAGGGACGACTGTATATGGTCTTGATACTAGAAGCTTCCTAAATCGTTTCTCGGCCAGAGCAACCAACACAGACCGTAGCTCCTTCTGCATCGTTTGCAATTGCGGTCGGCGGTTCAGTAGACCACAGGACCTATCCCGTCATCGTCCCTACTGTTCCGAACCTGCTTAATCCCCCCCCCCCCCCCCGCATGGGGTCCGCATAGCCAGAGTATGGCAGCGCGTCCAAGGTCCAAGGTGTGTGTGTGTGTGTGCGTGTGGATATGTATGTGCGCATGCATGTGCATGTAGGCGGGTGTGCGTGCGTGTAAGCCTTTTGAAAACGTGTTACCCCGTTTTTGAGGAAAGTCATCACCCCCCCCCCCCCTCCCCTCCCCACACACACACCAGACCTTCACTTGCTTTAATTTTATTTTGGAAGAGCTTCATATTGCTCGCCTGGAAGACGGCAGTAATCACTACCCAGTTGATAAGACCATAGGCTTTCCGACCGAAGCAAAACATGTTATCATCTAGCCCCTTCAAGGTAGAATGGTACTAGTACACTGAATAGAATCTCACCACTCTTTGCAGGCGCAGCCATGAACCTCGCCATGTTGTTGTCCCATGAACTACTCACAAGTCCACTGTCTCCCACAACGTCAAATGCTGCAGCGTCCAATACATGATGCGGGTGCGCACATGCAAACACACACAGAGGAACAAGCAAAAGCGCACACACACACACACACACACACACACACATAGAGGCATGTTTCCAAATTAGGACACAAATCGATTTACCCGCAGCACTGGGGAAGCCAAGCAGCACAGTAAAACTCCCCCGAGATCCGGACGTCCCTAATCCGGGTACTTCCATCTACCGGGCACCTTTACGACCCTGTAGAGTCATAAACATGACTTTTCAACGGAAAACGGCCCCAAAACGGTCATATCGATTGGCAGAAAATCTTTACCTGCATGCAGTAAGTATGTAAGTTATGGGTTACAGGCAGTGCTCGGTCCCAACCTGCCCGGATCTGGGGAGTTTTACTGCACTTCACAGTACAAAAAACTACAAATTGAATGAGTGACAAGACGTGCCGCCGTACGTAACAGTCTTCAGCATGGCCTAACCGTCAGCCCTTGGACTTTCTGACTCTACATGTAGCGACTCAGATGCACAATGCAAGGTAAGTTGGAGATAGTAACACTGAAGGAAAGTCACCTAGCTAAGACTCAGAGGGACACATGCTAAGCACAATAAGTACCTGGAGGCTGGAGGTATGCATGGAAAAGGATGTCACCACATCCAGAGCGGCCATGTTCCTCCACCAGCTGCAACATGCGAACTGCAGAGACGACAGCGGACAGTGAACCGTGAGAACAGTTGGATTCTTAAATTTTTCTTGACTACTACATTGGCTATACTGCAAGTTATAAATGTAGCACTGAATTGTATCATCTGTCTGATCAAGACGGAGACTTTTACCCTGGCAATTGTGGGCATACCAGCAAGGAACACACAGTCATGTTCAACCCCGATCACTACCTTCGCTTGAGGGTTATCCCAATGGAATTGGAACCAACTCATGACAGAACACAGAATATACATGTAACAGAACTGTGCTGTGTGCAACTGACCAAGCGGCTGAATGTTGAAGAACTCCGCCTCGATCTGGACACTGTAGATGCTCTGTCCCCTACAGGCAGAGGATGGAAACAGACAACCTCGCAATGGTTAAATTCAGGGCATAGCCGCTGTGTGCACAGAGGCACCGCAGCTGATCGAAGTGAGCTCAGCCTGGAGGAGCTTGACAACTTGATATTGCACTACCAAGCGCAAGGGCTACAAACCAAGCACCGGGATTGGACACTGGATGGTTATCGTCTCGGCAACAGTACATAGGACACACTGCTCCAAGTACTTGCTGTGCCTTTCTAACCACACAACAGAATACTGTCGTGACTAAGACTCATTAAAACCTCATGCTACCATAGTATGCATGGCTTAGTCACATTCAACACGATAATCGTAAACAGTGGCGGATCCAGGGGGGGGGTTCCGGGGGTTCCATGGAACCCCCTAAATTTTGCAAAGTGTGCGGCTGAGAAAATATCGAAAAATATCATGTGTGCACAAAAGGACGTCCGTCCGATCACAGTCAGTGCAAGTCACTGAGTCGAGGAGCACAGACTGTCACTCAGTCATTGCACTGCATGCGCGTGCGGTAGATGGCTACTGTACGGATAGTAGTCTGTACTGGTGTTCACGTCCGTGATTTACAAACGGACACTGTAGACAACATTGGGTGGTTGTTTCCTTTTTGATCTTTCGAAACGATCCAAACTTACCTCCATTGGCGCTGTCATTCACTGCTGCTCAGGATCGGTGTGGTGTGGTCAGTATTCCTTGGACACGTTTTTTGCAGAAGAGAAAGGATGTTCCGAGTACTGACACTCTTCAACGAAGCTCCTCAGAAGATGAGGACTCCGACATCCAAGCAAAGTCAGTAATCTCTACCTGCTGCAGCATGCAGTAGTGACTAGTTGTTCCCCCGCAGGAACGGAATGCTGCGCCAGGGATGTGTTTTAGATGACATTGGAAGGATTGCACAATTGTCGACACTGTTTCGCTGTTGTTGTTTCTGTCACTGAAGTGAAGGCGATGCTCTTGTCCTGTGACTATAGAGCATTTCGCGTCGTAAAAATGCCAAATATTTCCGAATGTACGAATGGACAGGGGAAGTAACTTAGTTGTCATTTCGGCATTCCTGGCTCTCAACGTACCCATGGCTTGCATATTCGATCTTAACAAGACGTTGAAAGGGTCTTCAAGCCCTCACTGAACCTGTGTGCCAGTCGATTGCATACATGTATATGATTATGTGTCCGTACAAAATAATATACAATGTAGGGTAAGCAGCAGCATTTGGCCCTGTACAGGTTTTCCATCGTCCACCACACCACAACTGCGCTCCGACTCAGTCTCCAGCGATGGTGGTGTGCTGTGGCAACGTGTCGAGGCCGGCTGGAGAGCGCAGGTGTGGTGTGGTCGATGATGGAAAAATATAGTAGTATTATGTCCGTAGTGTGTTTTAAAAGCATGCGATTCCCACTAACACAATCGGATTGTCGTTATTACAAGTGTCAACCGCACATCTGATTCCATAATATTTTGGCTGTTCAATTTTGGTTCAACCGGAACCCCCCTGTAGAGATCTCTGGATCCGCCCCTGGTAAAGTTGTTGGATACCAGTTGGCAATGCTTACCTTAGATCTAACTTCTTCGTTCGCATGTAGTTGAGGATAATGCTGAAGAGCGTGGGATCTCGATCAATGAACAGCTGTGCATTGCACATAATGGTAAGGCACACACAAACACCGACTAAAATACCTCACTGTACTTGAAGACTCACATGGTCATGGAAAGGCTTTTCCTGCAATCCCTGATTTAGACAGGGAGCGCATACTGTGCCCAAAAATGACCACCTTGTTATTAGAGGATACATACCTGTGCCAACTACACCGGGAAGTTTCTCAAAGTCACGGCAAGGTGCACATGAAACTGCAACCATGCACACACACACACACACACAGAGCTATTCAGATCCGGCACACACCGAGGTACTCACCGCACCGCTGTCATCCCGTGCACTTGGAATCCGTTCACTAACAAGACTGTGCATCGGAAGCACATGCACGCGCACACACACACACACACACACACACACACACACACACGCGCGCGCGTGCGCACACCCACCCACACACATGCTTCTTTAAAAACCCACCAGAAGTGATCAACTTGTGACCTATGCAACAAGAACTATCCGAAAATACAATGAGTTCTCCTCAACAATCCATCCGATTGAACTCTAAGCACAAAGCCCCCCCCCCCCCCCCCCCCACACACACACTGATTAGGGGGATACATGTACAACTACGTGAAGTACAGACCTGGCCGAGAAATCCGACCTCATGAACATAATAGCGCCCCGGGGGGGGGGGGGGGGGGGGGGGGGCTACGCGGCCCTAGCTCCACACACACACACCACTCTGCGCACTTGAGCACAGCGCTACTTTATTCACGAGGTCGGATTTCTCTGTGCAGGACTGTAACTCTTCTTTTGAAAGGTCTACAGACTAGTATATACTTCTTCAATACACCACAATCAACACTGCCGCCAACGCCACCACGGTCTTACTGAAACGCTGCGCCAAGAGTATTCTTCATCACCCAATGTTTGCATTTGGGCCCACTACATACCTTGAAAAGAATGTGTTCGGAATGGACAGAAGTGTTTCCCGAGATGTATAGAACCTATCAGACACGGAAGAGGCACAACACGAGGAAGTTTACTTTACCATAATATATCATGTACATGCATTGCGGCCTATCACTCAGAATGACACTCAGGAGGAAGTAGCCGGTCTGGCTGGTCCGGCTTTGACTGGGCCATGGTTTGGTCAACCAACCATGCCTGGGTAGCGTAAGGGGACAAAACGCACGAGTAGTGCGTCAGAGCAGCCGTCAAAGGCATCTCTATGCACCGTGTTGGCTGGACTGGTATTTTGCTTGACTGGATCAGTTCTAAGTGTGTGCTACACGTATGTGCCTGACAGCAAGAGTACATAACAGTTAACCAAGAGTGTGCAACTTCTATCTCGAGCTGTGATGGGTTCGCCCATGGCGGAATTTTTTATTGCGTCATTCTTTGGCAGAAGTATGATCAAGTGCGTATGCTTTCCGCGCGTGTTTTGTAGATACGGTGAGAGTTCATCGGGTTCAGGAGAAATGATCTATCATCCGTTGTTCTACTTCGACTACCGTAACGTTAGCTGTGATGTACAAATTATTGGTACTTTGATCTCTGGCTACGCATGACGGCATCAGTGAGCCAAACAGCCGCCAAAGACTGATGTCATAAAAAAATTCCGCCGTGGGCTGGAGGATCGTTGAGTTGCACACTTTTGGTTATGTACTCTTGCTGACAGTACACACTAGCAGTAGCATAGAATAAGCTGAGGGAGACCCATAAGACTAATTGTAAATACATGTACTAGTGGCGGCCACAGCCTGGAGGACATACCACCACGCCAGTACTGGGTGATGAAAGGTACGGCATGCACTGAGATAGGCGGGTGCAAACTATCCCCTCATGTGGAAAAGCGGCAATGATTATAGCAATGACTAGAACGACTTCTTGCTAATGAAGGCTGACATGCATACACACATTACATGCACATACATGCATGGACTACAATCAAATCGGTCATAGGCGACCACCCCTTGATGCAACCGAAATCGATCACTCATAGCAGATGATCTCTACAGGTTGGTTCACTTCGGCCTAATCGGCACCGGGAGGCACCGGCAGTGGATTAGCTGCCAATCAGTCCCAATCACGGTCAGCCGGCGATCACGTGCATACAGTTTGAATTACTATTTGGCGGTACATGAAGTCCAAAATCTACCCAAACTGCTAGGACGGGATTGCCCATTGGAGTGTGAATTCCGTTTCTTCAGTAATTCATGGGACAAGGGTCATCCGGTGATTGCCACTCTGTGACGCGGCACTGACGCCTCTTGCTGCAGATCATGAAGCTATGCCCACACCTTTTTACTGTTTGTGCAGTCAGCGGTGGGCTGGGAATCATGCGTGAAACACGAATGTCCCCAAATTGAAAATTGTTGGTGGATGTTCACATGTAATACGTACACGATCAAAGAAGAATAATTTCCTTTTTTTGCAATGATTCTGTACTTGCAAAGTGAAAAGAATTTCTTCAGACTGCTACGTAATCAATGTAGATGTACTACAAGATTTGTATTCATCAATTATTTGAGGGCAGATTGTGCATGATTGTAATCAATTATTTGAGGGCAGATTGTGCATGATTGTAATTTGTATGTTGTACTTGTAGTAATACTACTTCGAAGTAGTAGCCGGGTTTGACAAATGGATTGCAAAATCGCATAGCTAGCTTACCGCACTCCACCAACATTGAGCGATACCAGCTGCGGATCTGCCATAGCTGCCCGCTAGCGACGAGTTACCCCACCAGCCAGCTCGCCAATATGCAACACAGTCAAGTGTTAGTTTCCAAACCACACAGCACGAACGCTCCAGAAATCCCACTCAGCTGCTTGCACAACGAGCCTACATTCTGAGAAGAACAAGCTTGGGACTGCAATAGGGCTATATACCTTTCGAATCACCAAACGCCCGAATATAATTAATGTGAAGATGAAGGATGAAAGCGGGCTACCACAGATAACGCATGCAAGAACACTTCAACAGTAACGACTTACACAACCTTGCTGACTAGCGCGAGCGGCTAGTATTGCTAGCTGCAGAGCGACAGCGTCATAATTTTTATTTGGGCTGTTCCCTGTTTACTACATGTACTGCACTGCTGTCTGTTATGTGCATGTACGCAAGATCTTCATTCAAACCAACAACGCTGACGTGACACTTCACTTGTTGAATGCTGTGCACATGTGACACACTACAAAAGTGCATTACAACTACGACTATGACAGTATGAGTAGTATTGCATGCGGGGACCTGTCAGTAACAGCAAGAGTACATAACCCTGGTTATGTACTCTTGGTAACAGGGTAAGGCCCTACTTGAGTAAGTAACTTAGTTGAGATCAAGACAAGACTTGTTTATCATGGTTATCATGGTTATAATTATGCTACCAACTCCCTGCGCCTGGCTGTGACTTCATCACGGCCACGGTGCTATTTTCAGACTTCATTTTTTTGCTGCGATGCCGAGCCGAAGTCGCACGCGCACAGCAGCTACAGCGTCGTTACGGTGTTGTGCTTTTAGTTTTACGTCATCAGGCAAGAACTGCAATAGGGCTATATACCGGACTGGACAGATCTGAGATTCCGTGGTTGTCACCTGCGCGCGTCTCAACTCGCGCTCGGAGCATAAATCTGGGCAGGTGCATGCAGGCCCGGAAAGGAAACGGATCTACAGCGACAGGGCTGCACAAATTGTTATACACGTAGTGCTAAAGCATATTGGTCGTGGAAGTAATAAGTAGGGCCTAGTGAAATGATAGTGCCAAGATATCCGGATAAATAATTGATTAGGTCACACAGGATTTTAGGAAAGAGACTCAAAATAACAGGCACAGTGTCAGTGTCACGCCTACGCTACACGAATCCTCCAAAGTCCAAGAAGACATACCCGACCATTCTGCACACATGCAGCCATACCTCCACTCTTTGTAACCATAATAAACGAGGGGCCATGCCGTCACGCAGTGCGTAGCTACAAAAAGCCACAAAGGTATGAAAATGGTGATACGTTTCCAAGAAGATTTCAATACCATTAGCTGACTGTCTGCATGCACCCGCACTCTCACCCACAGCACAACAGTATAACCATAGGCAGTTTTATGAGACAGGAACAATGTTGGAAACCTTGACGAAAGCACATGTGCACAAACACAGAAGCTAAGTAAGGACTAGTGAGCTAAGGAGTAGTATTGTGTAAGAACATATAAACGCCGTAACTAGACTGTGCTGCTGGTGACCATGCACGACTTTACTGCCACATGCACAGTACCCACTGTGACCCAGTCGACACATACATGTACATCAGTTCTGAATGGAAACGAGAGGGGAAAATATAAAAATCAATACAAGAATAAAAAAAATCTTCACCGTGCCTGCACGATTGAGTGAGGTGAGAGCGCGTGCGTGGGCAAATAGTCTTTCATCAAAATCCGTTGACAAGGGAGAGTGCATGCATGCACCAGCAGCAATGAAACATTCCCTGACCGGACGAAACAAGTAATCAAGCCTGGAATACAAAGCGGTATACGTACCTCCAGCCAGCCATGGGTACTACCAGTTTGGGCGGAACAATGGCCAACGTGCCAAAAGACAAAATAGAGCAAGGCAGAGAAGGAGGCTGGAAGGCTAAAACAAAACGGGCAAAACTTGCGGCTAACTAGTCGGGTAGAGATGGCTACATACGTCTATATACAATATGATGAAGATCAGAGTGCCAGTGACCGGCCATGGCTACTCGGAATTCTCCATCTCGGGTACTGCTGATATGGTCTATGGTGCAGTTGGTTGGAGAGCTATGACTCCTTCTGCTCTTTGTGCTTAGCTTGATAGCAATAGAAGTGCTCAACAGAGCCATCGGGATAGCGAGCAAATGCACTAGTGCAACACACAAACAAAACACAAAAAAACCAGCACATGTACAATTTGCTGTGCGTATACACAAACACACCCATTCTTCACGTACAGTAGATGTCCACAAACAGTAGCATCATACACATCCATTACGATTCTACTAGTCTCATGTGTGGAACAGTGCACCAGTGTTTCATGCCATACCTCTGGTTGATGCGTTTCCTGCACACTTCACATGTCGTCTCCTGGGTGATGCGAGCAAACTGGCTTTGCACTGCAATGCGCTGCTGTTGCACCTAAGAATCAAGACAAAAAAACAAATATTTACAGTATTCAGCCCAGACTTGTATGTACAGATTTGAGGTACAACCCACGCACATACAGAGTGCTATTACATACACAAACACACTTTCCCATAGTAATACAAGTACTTCAATGCAACAGCACTCCAGTCAAACAGAGGATTTCACAGCTTCTCGCGATCTTCCTACTGGTGGTGGTGCAAACAACTTTCTACAATGCACAGAGCACATATATGTAGGTCCCTGTCCATACCTCGAGTAATTCGGCCAGCAGCAAGCTCTTGAGCATCTGCTGGTCTCGCCGCCGCTGGGTCTGCTTGATCAAGACATGGCACAGGAACTGGTGGATCTCCCTGATAGGAATGTCAGCCGGGAGCAGCTCCAGTGCCTGAACAATCACAACACGCACAGCAAGGACAACAAGGACATCATGTTCTGTTCAGCAGCTGATACAACACCAACACCAAGAGCAGCAGACATGTAGTAGAGCAGTGCATGATGACTAAAAGCATTGCATTTAACAGAAAAAATTGCTTTTGGTCACACTCCACAGACTCCATCCAACAGAACATTGACACAGTAAGGAGACTGGCTCAGATTGGGTGGACCAAGCACTGACAATGCACAACAGAATACTAGGTTCACATGCAGCAGACATACACTTTTGTACAGACAAAGAGGGAAGCAAAGTTAGACAGGAAGATATACCGTAAAATTCCGTAAATAAGCCCACCCTAAATAACGCCCATGTCCGATATTAAGCCCAGTTTTAGGCGGTGTACACTTCAAGACCGTTTTAGCGCCCATGGCCGAAATAAGCCCAGGGCGTAAAGTGGACTCAAAATGACCAGCGCGCGAGCGTGCGTTCGAGTACAAACTGTAGAACAGTTGTAGATCGAGTGCGTGCCATCCAACTGCACGCAGCAAATAGTCATTGCAGAACTCAACACTGTTACGGCGCGCGAGGACAGCGATGTTCCGTTGGTGTACAGCTGTGGTTTGATGTACCTGTACCGCGCTCAGTGTGAATGGTGGTTCACTGAAACTAGTGGGCTGCTGATAGATTGATCTTCTGCAGATTGCGTCCGAAATAACGCCCATGCCCTAAAATAAGCCCATGCCCATATATACGCCCAGTTTTTGACGCTCTGCAAAGTATACGCCCGGGGCTTAATAACGGAATTTTACGGTAGTGCAAAAGGCAAGTGACAGGACTCATCTAAACGGAGACAAAGCTGACTGCGAACGAATTTGACATCAGAAATGTCATGTATAAAAGCCTGCCTCGGATAAAAGCCTCATTATAATTTATGAAGCCCAACATTTTGCATATACATATACTTGGAAGTATGCCTGGTTTTCATGCAGAGACCTAGAAATACATGTAGCAGGCTTCAATGGAAGCTGGGCCCTCACACCGGCGTTAACAGGAATCGGCCCGACTTTTACATGCAACGTCCTATTTTTAAAAAAAACAGCAGATACGAGTAGTGACACCACCAGCGGCAACTACATCACTGTACACAGAGCGTGTCAGCATCCGTGAGCAAAATATCAGCAGTACTGGCAAGCAGTGCCTACCTTAGCAGTATCAATGTGCTCATAGTGCTCTAGGAGGACCTCCAGAGCAGCCGTGACATTGGCCTGGGGTATGGTGTCTGATGAGACACCTAAACTACTAGCCTGCGGTGGCTGAAGGTACATGCGTAGAAGGCACAGATACACCTGTAGAGTACACGAGGAAAATAAAGAGCAGTGAGAAGAGAGAGGGAGAGAGAAAGAGAGAGTGAGAGTGAGAGAGAGAGAGAGAGAGAGGAATACGGCTACAAGACATGGAACTTGAGTTCTGCTCACAGGACCACCATTCCACTGGGGTGATCTAGATCGGTTAGTGAAAGGGCTGAAGTCACCAGTGGTGAAGGAGTGAAGTATATGGCGCAGTCAACTGCAAGAGAATACGATGTTGAACTGGTCACTATTGGGACGCCCAGCAAGAAGTCATTCGGTTCTATTTTTCTTAACAAGTACATGATACAAAAATACTGAAATCATCAACAACGATTGCATCATGCCAATGTACACATCAAGTAATAACAGGTGGATATTGTTACACGTACATCTTTACTGTGCTCACTGCTGCGATTGTAGTTCTTGCGGCAGTACCTACACACATAGCAACACATACCGGTACACACAGACTTGGTATCAATCAGAGAACAAAGAATGACCAAGATACTCAGTTTCCACCTTGCTTTCCTCCCGAAAGCAATAGACCAGACTGTGAACCATCACAGTGTTTATGGACTGGGTTTACATGGATTATGATGAAGTCACTGAGATTCCTCCACCTTGGATCGAGCCTCAGCCATTGTCTAACAGCTCTGCGCCATTAGACCTTGAGACGACTGGCCTTGGCTGCAACTCTAAAACCACCCAGATCGCGGCCTTTTCCATGGACATGGCCCAACAAGTTTAGTCGCTACGTTCTTCCAGACTGCCCGATATCTGCCAAGGCCACTGAAAGTGACGGGATTGTCCATGCAAAGGGTCGGCGGCAAGTTGGCCTTGGCATTTAGCAGCAAGCCAGTTGACAGTACCTCCATAGTCGATGCCTTGCACTCCTTTTTGGAGTGGCTTCTGACTTTCACATCCAAGCCCATTCTTGTTGCGCACAACGGTCGTGCCTTGGATTTGCAAGCATTATATTAGCGAGCTGGACTCCAGCAGCAAGCAACAGGACTTCATGATGACGCTGCAATCAAATACGCTACATGTACCTTAATATGGTACATATTAGATATCTTCTGGAGAAAAAGCCGCACTTTATATTTAAACACACGTATTTCACCCAAACAAGTCGGGTTTTATTTTTATTGGTTTGGGGCGTAAAATCTAAATCGTCATTTTTGAACCGTGTTTATCCAAAAATCGACACGTACAGCAACCCCTACAAGTTTCATTCGGTCTAAAAATCACCAGCTGCCACAACAATACCAACAGCGTGAGGCATGCGGACTGTGCTTTCCACATGCATTCTGTGAGCTCAATTGTCATCAAAAACTTACTGGGAGCAACTGTCTGGTTACACTGGTGTGTGGTATATGTGCATAATAATAAAATAATAGCATTGCCACCACTGACCAACAACTTACTCTTCTGCCTGCTTAGTGTCCTTCAAGACGTGTGTGTAGATGGCCAACGCCTGCTCATGGCGATTCATACGGCCTAGCAACAATGCCCTTTCCTCAAACAGTTCTGTGGGCAGAAAAGAAACCATAAAAGCACGCATAGTAAGTTTGCAAACTTTTACACTGTCCCTTTGATGTACAGCGCTGTTCAATGAAATCCGATTGCACGAGCCAAGTTTGCATCCTGCACCAGTTCACCATCCCAGTGTTCGCAGGTCTAGGCACAGCTCCCGGCGTCGCATTGACTCGCTCGATCGGATTTCATTGAGCAGCACTGTACATGCATATAAAATGTATGTCCAGTGTCCAAGATTGGAGAGAAAGAGCAAGAAAGAGAACACATGATTGGGGAGACCAAGCAGGAATTCTGTCCAGGACATAGGCAATCGTCTAGATTAGATCAGGACACACCAGAACTCAACTCCAGCCAGATAGGCACCCCTGACAGCAGGAATTGAACTTCACAAGCAAGGCACACCATCATGAGTGTACTGTAGTACCCATACTCACTTCCGACAGGAAAGTGAACGATGAGCTTAGCTGGCTGGTAGTGTTGCGATTGCTCCAGGAAGGTGAGCAGCCGCTGTCGATAGTGCCCTAGATCACCAGGTTCTGAACCAGCTGGCACCTTGTCTGCCTCGTCTGGAGATTCCGCGCCTGCACAGTGAAAGCACACGATCGTTAGCAACACATAACCGGTATTAAGTGAATGAACATAGATATAGTGAGTAGCCACCACTTTGTGCTCCGTATCCTGAGTCACTGTCAATACCCTCATACCACTGTTTGAATTTAATCCACACTGCCCATTTAATGGAAGTACCGCACTTGCTGCTGCATATAATAATAATGCCCCCCACCAACCCACCCAACCTCTAGCTGCTGCCCTTTGCCTTCCACCTTGCTACCCCATATCAGTGAGCAGCGTGCAGTCAAAACTTACCACCTGCTGCGGTCTTCTCCATTAATATCGCTTCAATCCTCTCGCGGTACAAGGTGATGAGTCGATTGTGAAAGACAGCACTAGTGTCCTGGCCATAAATGATGATGTGTTCCTAGATAACAAGAACAAGAACCACAATCACGACAGAAGAAGGAACAGTCGTGAATGGTAGGCCCATAACCATTCCAACCATGGAAAGTCAAATACAGTAAGTACAAGCCAGGGAGAAGAGAGCGTTGCGCAGGCACTGACATGACACGGCCAACACAAAACAAATAAAAAATTCGGTGAACAAGCCAAAAGTATGGGTAATACTACAGTCCATTTCAAAACTATAGACGCGTACCTAGGCAAAAACCGTTATGCCAGCATCTATACCACATAAAATCTGTGATCACTTTGTGCATAAATTTTTCCAAATTGGGCGTCTGTTATCCAATCCTTTAGAAACTATAATAGGGTAATTGTGGAGCGATCCTGAGCAATATTCCGAAAACTATTCTCAAAAAGTTCCAGCCAAATTTGAAATATTTCAAAAACCCTACGCGTCTATAGTTTTGAAATGCACTGCAGACATAGACGGCTGGAGAAACAAAGACTGGCTGTGAAGGCTTACCAAATACTTGATCACAAGTGACTTGGCAACAGACTCCAGGTGTGCTAGTACTTTGTCCCTGGGCAGTGACTCAACCTCTGGACTGTCCTCTGTGAATATCTGCACGAACACACAAGCACACAAACAGAATTTCCAATTCCGAAGAGGACATCAATCTGTACAGTACATATTCTCCAAAGCCTTCCAGAACTAGGAAATTTGCAACATGCAGAATGTTGTGTTTCTAAGATCTCCCAAGAGATTAAGACACACATACCCGTAAGCCATCTTCAGGGCTTGCACGCAGAATCCACTTTGAGTATTCAAAGATGAGCTCCAGGCGGTTGGCACCTTGTTGAGTTCAACAGAAAAAAAGCAAATAAGAAAACAGATATCCCTAAGGGCCAAACCGTTTCCATGCAACACTTTCACAGGAACAAAGTCAAAACAGAACACGGACAAAATCTAGCAAAATACCATCATACAAACAAGTGGCTTGATGCGAAAGAAAAGCAGAATGCTAAACAAACATGTCACCCACAGCGCCACCAGTGGCTGAATAAAAAAAAGCCCAATGCAGTGTGCCACCCCAGACATATGAAGCCGCCACACGGCCCGAGCACGGAGGAATCTTGACAACACTTACTATCTAAACAGTGCTCTGAACTCAAGTTGGCCACTGAAGTTAGTTTCTACCTGTGTGCGGTGCCCCCCCCCCCCCCCCCCCCAACACACACAGCAACTTCAAAGGTTGTCTTGCTGCTGCAGTGTTGGATAGCATGCCCCACCCATGATACAGGGGAGCCCAAGTCAGGCCAGCAACACTTACCTAAATGCTGCAGATACCGGATCGTGGGCTCGTAGCCCCGTAGCGTGCCGGAGGATTTCTGGCCATGCCGTAGCAGTAGGTCAAGGGCTACAAGTAGAACAAGAAGAACAAAGGCATGTCAAACAGGGGATCACAACATATGATGGCCCATGGGTGGGGTTCACCAAAGCATTGGGGCAACTTCACTAAACAATGCACTTCATTCAAAGTGAGTAAGATGCTACATACTGCACTAAACACAGCTATTACCATTACTTCAGTATTGCTGCTGCTGATGCTGATGCACAGTGAGGTAGAAACACAAAGAAAGCAGGCAGCCCCTCCTCACCTTTCTTGTGGTTCTCTTTATTCTGATACAGCTGAACAAGTTCTTCGTACTTTTCCCGCATTCTGCAGGACACGTTCACACTCCACCAAATGGCAGCAGTTGTCCTTCAGCCGAAGCAAAGGCCGCACCAGTGCATCATTAATCTGTGCACAAAACAGCAGCATCAAGCAGAGCACGCACATCATACAGAAGATCAGCAATATGTGAGAGGTAAAGCCCAGCAGAGAGAGAGAGAGAGAGAGAGAGAGAGAGAGAGAAGAGAAGAGAGAGAGAGAGAGAGAGAGAGAGAGAGAGAGAGAGAGAGAGAGAGAGAGAGAGAGAGAGAGAGAGAGAGAAGGAGAGAGAGAGAGAGAGAGAGAGAGAGAGAGAGAGAGAGAGAGAGAGAGAGGAGAGAGAGAAGAGAAGAGAGAGAGAGAGAGAGAAGAGAGAGAGGAGAGAGAGAGGGAGAGAGAGAGAGAGAGAGAGAGAGAGAGAGAGAGGAGAGAGAGAGAGAGAGAGAGAGAGAGAGAGAGAGAGAGAGAAGAGAGAGAGAGAGAGAGAGAGAGAGAGAGAGAGAGAGAGAGGAGAGAGACGAGATGAGTGAGAGTGACTGAGAGAGAGAGAGAGAAGGAGGAGAAGAGTGAGAGAGA